CTGTCCACAGTCACTGCAGCACAAGTTCAATCCCCGGCCAAGGAGTTGACTCACATGGCGCTGCAGACCTCTCCTGTCTCACCAGCTGCTCCCCTTAGCAGTGTATTTCGATCAGTCCATCCTTCTGTTCCCCCACTCTGTCTCTGGTGAATCCTCTCACCCACCCTACACCCCTGGTCTATATCCCAGTTCTTGTGTGCGTGAATAAATAAATCTTAATTAAAAAAAAAAAACAAAACTATGAGTGCCTCTCTTTGCCATCAGGGGATACAGGAAGGAATAAGGTTGATAATCTGCTGCCTTAGTGGAAATTAAGTTGGAACAGTTCCTGGAGACACAAACTAAATAAGATACTCGATCTCTGCTAAAATGAGTTTGGTTATTATAAAAAGGGAGATGGAAAAGTGAGAGCTATAAATGGAGTAATATCCAGGATCCCTCTGAATTGTGTGGTGAATAGTTTGAACATGTGAACGGCAGATGCAGAGCAGCAAATTAAGAGATTGTCACAATAGGGCCTTCACTGGTGGTGCAATGGGTTAAAGCGCAGCTCTACCAAGCTAACCGCAACTGCTTCAGCATGAGTTTGAGTTCTACCCACGGTGGCAGACCTCTCCTCTCTTGCCCACTACTTCCCTCAGCATTCTGCCTGTTCTGCTCTGCATTCTGCCTCTGGTGAATCCTCTCACCATCCATGCACCTCTGGTCTGTACCCCAGTTCTGTATGCATAAATAAAGCTTAAAAAAAAAAAAAGACACCCACAGGGATGGAAAAAGGCACAAAATTCTGTAAAAATAAACATATATTTTTAAAGACAGCAAGAAGAGAAATTAAATGTTATTAAAAAAGATTGTCGAGCCCTCTCTGGTGGCGCAACGGGTTAAAGCACAGCACTGAGAAGCTAAAGGCACTTCAGCATGAGTTTGATTCCCGCCTGCCCGGGAGGAGATCCACATGCTTCAGCAGACCCCTCCTGACCCTCCCGCTGCTCCCCTCAGCAGTGTACTTCATGGATCTGCCTGTTTTGCTCCTTACTCTGTCTCTGGTGAATCCTCTCAACACCCCTGTGCCTCTGGCCTGCACCCCAGTTCTGTATGCATAAATAAATAAACCTTTTAAAAAAAAAGATTGTCATAGTAATACAGAAGGTGATAATTGTATCTGTTGTAGCTACAGTGAAAACAGGAGATGTGGGCTAGGATAAGGGGAAGAATGTGAGAGAAACAGTTTTAACAGGAAGAGCAGAAACAGTTTGGGGTAATGGAAGTTTTTAATGTGTGGTAGACAAGTGAGACATGGAGTTGGCACTTGGACATAACAGTCTGGAGTTCATGATAAAGCAAAGTTAAAGACACAAATATATCAGCACATCACTGGTGCTAGTATCTAAAGCCATGCCCATAGATGTGACAACTACGGGAATGAAGGAGCAAGTGTAGACAGGAGAACAGGGTTCCATACTGAGCCCTGAAGAACACCAGCACTTCCAAGGTTCCCGGAAAGAGGAAAAACAGCTATACATAACTCTGGGTATTTTACTTTGTTTCCCAAGTTAAGCCATTACAAGTGAGTCCCTTATCAGGTAGTACTATATTTTCCAAAGAGGGAGAAGAGTTAATTCTTGCCTTCTGCCCAATATCCTTGGGTAATAAAAATTGCTACCTTTCATTATACTCTATCTTATTTAATCTTCACAATTACCATATGATATTTCCCTTTTATAGTCAAGGAAACCAAAGTGCAGCAAGACTGAGTAACTTACCACAGCTGGAAAGTTGAAGGTAAGGGGATTCCAACACATGTCAGTCTTACTCCAAGGATCATACTCCTCACTACTTTCCCTTAAAAAAAAATATTATTCATTTATACATACAAGAGCCGGGGTACAGTCCAGAGGTACAGGGAGCGAGAGACTTCACCAGAGACAGTATGGGGAGTAGAGCAGACAGATCTACTGAAATATATTGCTGAGGGGAGCAGCGGGCAGGCAGAACAGGAGAGGTCTGCTATGCCATGTGGGTCACCTCCCTGGCCAGGGATCAAATTCCTGCTGCTGTGGCCCTAGATAGCTTCATAGTGCTGTGCTTTATTTAACGCCTTATGCCACCATGGAGGGCCTCAATTTTTCTTTTTTCTTATTGAGATTGAGGATTTTCAGAGGAAGATTCTAAATTTTTTTGTTTAGTATATATGGGCCCATAGTATTTGTAAGGTTGTTTTTACTGCCTAATACAAGGACATTTGAGCTATTTAGAAGTGTTTACCCAGAGCAGTGCCCCAACCTGGAATGGAGTACAGGGGGGCTAGGCTCACTTTCAGCCCCTAAATCCTCGTAGAGAGGACCCAGCAAAGAGAATATCCTACCTGATATTCTTGTTGACTTGCTCCCATTTGGGGCTGTAGTTCTTCAACATAGGAAGTAGGAGTCTGATCAAATGTTAAAATGGGAAACTGGAACCAGGACAGATACACATGGTACAAGACCATTGATGTAACATTCCAGTGAAGCAGGAAACTTTTCCAGCTGCCTTCCCAGGAACTGCAAAGTAATAAAGGCAGGAAGGAAAACCTCTTCAAAATTTCCAGGGAAGGCCTCACTGTTATTATTAGCTCAGGATACTCATATTCAATATCCTGCTTTGTATGATGGGATGGGGCCCTGCTGAAGATGCTGCTATCTTCACTAAAGGATCTATCTCTAATCTGACAAGCAAGATAGTGCAGCCTCAGCCTACAATAGGCCTTGTCACTTTAGCCACAAGCTCTTCACAGCACCTGAAATTCTGAAATATCCACTATAGCTATGAAAGAAACCTCTTAGGGCCCTCCCTGGTGGCACAATGGGTTAAAGCACAGCACTACAAAGCTAGTGGTAGCCTCTGCACAAGTTTCATCCCTGACCAGGGAGGTGACCCACATGGCATGGCACACTTCTCCTGGCTCACCCACTGCTCCCCTCAGCAGTATACTTCATCGATCTACCTGTTCTGCTCCTCACTCTGTCTCTGGTGAATCCTTTCACTGCCCCTCACCTCTGGCCTGTATCCTAGTTCTGTAGGCATAAATAAATAAATCTAAAAAAATATTTTTTAAAGAAAGAAACCTCTTCCTGGAATCAATTTTTTTAAATGTTTATTTTAAAAAAGGAAAGAAATAAATTTGGGCAAGCACAGGGGTCTTGCTGCTACTTTTGATCTAGACCCAGCTGCCCTCACTATTGCTGCTGCAGGAAGGCATGCCCAGTTTGTGAAAATCATGGACCTAAGAAAAGCAGAACACTGAGATTTTGAGAAGTCCCCAACCTGGAGAGAAAATGGAGTACAGGATAGCATTTTGTTTCGGGTAAAGGTCAAAGTTTGAAGCTGCATTGTGCAGGGTCATTTGGGGTAAGCTTATTCCAAAAGATCAAAATTTATTTCTTAGCAATTCTATCAGCAAAAAGTAACCCATAAAAAGGAGTACCTCGATATGAAAATATTAGTCAATACATGGATTAAAATAGAATTTTATTTTAAATTTTTTGAAAGATTTATTTAATTTATGCATACAGGAACTGGGATACAGGCCAGAGGTGCAGGGGATGAGAAGGTTCACCAGAGACAGAGTGTGAGCAGAACAGGCAGATCTACTGAAACACACTGCTAAGGGGACAGGAGAGGCCTGCCACATCTTGAGTTAGTAGCTCCCTGGCTGGGGGTTGAACTCATGCAGCAGTGCCTGGCAATAACTTGATATTGCTGTGACTTTAACACCTCCTCCATCAGGCAGGCCCCATGACTTAGAGTTTTACAAAGTAAGGTGGTAGGATTAATGAAAGTAAAACTGTATAAATTATATTTACCATAAGGGAGGGAGCCTGGTCCAAGCAAGTGAGAACCTATGGGGACCTGGAGAGACTCCTCTCCTTTCCCGAGGAAAAGATTACTAAGGAATGGGGCATTTTCTCACTTGCTGTTATTTCAAGGGGAGCAAAAATGTCCCCTAAGTCATGTGTAATAATAGCCTGTGTAAATACATCTATGGTAAAAGCCACAGTTTTGTCACCATGTCAGTGACAGGCCCCTGTTGTGGAGGTAGATTCCAAGAGACAGGCATCTGAGACATGAGATAAGTCTAGGGCAGAGCTCTCTCCTATTTCCAGTCTAGAGTTGAGATGGGCGTAGGACACTGCTCTGGAGTGCTCGAAGCAAGAGAGAATCACTGGAGTGACTTCAGACTTTTTGCTTCATCCCAGAACTGATGGGGGAAATAACCACAAGTTTATAACAATTTAATTGCTATAGAGAAAACATGAACAATATTGTTAATACCTAATTTTACTTCCTTAACTGTTTTCCAAAAATAAGATTGTTTGGAAAAGCTTTATGTTTTCCTGTTGTTGTTTTATTGCTATGCTATGAGCCCAAGAAATGTCTGTGGAGGTGCTCCCTTGCCTTGGCAAATCACCTGGGAATTGTTTAAAAATGTAGTGATGCCATCCCGATGCAATTAAACCGAATTCCCTAGGACTGGCATCCAAGTATTAATGTTTTCTTCAAATTCCCCAAGTCATTCTATTTGCACTCAAGAGTTGAGAACTACGGTTCTGGAGCTTCATACACATATATTAAAACGTGGCAAAAAAAGGTATTTTGGTAGGAATTAGTGTGGCTCTTGCGCATGCTCACATCCTTTATAGTCAGTGTAGTCTGGTCCACTAATGACATTTAACCAGCCCCTTCAAATTGCACTACCTTTCCGTAATCAGTGTAGGAAACAAGATCAAGGTCTCTCTACTTGAAATAAATCTTTAGTTGTCTCGTGCGGAAGGGTCGGAGATTCTGCATCTGTGGTCCACCCGGGGATACGGGTTCAGAGGCGCCGGACCTGAACCCGACGAGGGAAAGGCGACACCATCTGCGACCGGGTCAGGCCACAACGCTGCCCCGACCCGCCCGCCCTCCCGCCGCGGGGCACTGCGGACTACATTTCCCATAATGCACCCGGGGGAGGGCAGGGCCGGGTCGAGCTGCTGGAGCCGGGCCTCCGCCGGGAGAGTCCGGCTAGAGCTGTCTTCTTCCTGCACCGGCAACCGGGCGAGGGGCGGTGGGAAGGGCAGGTGTCCCGCGCTGTGGCTATGTCTGCGTCCGCAGGGGGCCGTGGCCCCACCAACCTGCGCCCTCAGACCTGGCCTGGCCCGACACCCGTCCCCTCCTGGGGGTCCGACAGAGGGCAGTGACCGGCAATCTCTGTGCGTCCTGGGTCCCCCAAAGAAATAGGTGAGTCCGTCTGCTAACCCACGTGGCCTGGGGGCGCCGAGAGACTGGAGAGCTGTCATCCTTAGAGGGAGGGGCTTGAAGACTGGGGGCCACAGCCATCTGCGTTGCCATTTGCAGTAGAAGGACTACATCTTTTTGGGGTCCCTTAACTGTTTGGCCTTCAGCTGGGGACTACAAAAGGCGAGTCCTGGAACCCATCCTTTTACTGGGAGGACGAAGTCCAGTAGGGGGCAGTGGCCAGGTAAGGCCCGCCCTCAATACACGCCCAAATCGCAAGTCGACTCAAAGATGGCACAGTTGATTGTGGGGTGATCGGGGAGCTCCTGGAAGTGTGTTGGGGCTTAAGAGTTTGCACTCTACTGTGCCCTGATTCGAGTAACCGGGCTGCCCCCTGTACTGGGTGAGCCACCCTTTCTGGGATCGAGTTTCCTGGGGGAGGGTGAGCAGCCTTTGTCAGAAAGGGGAGTGGCACCAGCAGTGACAAGTACTTAGATATGCTCTTAGCATGGAGTAGGCTCTGGCTGAAACAGCTACAACACAGCCTCACCTGGGTCTGTCTGCTACACACGCATACTTCTTGGTCCCACACTCCCAGATACACCATTCACCAAGGGTCAGGGCAGAATGGAGAACTATTTAAGCAGGAAGAGGGAGAAGAGTACTAGTCGGCCAGTAGGGAAGGAATCCTGCAAGGCCCAACCCTCCCTGCACCCAGAGCTGATTCCTGAAGGAGAATTGCACACTCACTATAAGTGCTGATTGAGTCAACCTGTTTGATGTCAAGCCTTTTCTATGGAAAGTGGTAGGCTTTCTTTAGGGGCTTCTAGAGAGGCTGCCTGGAAAGCACAGGAACAACTGGACTGATTGTAAGAGACCTCCCTTGCTTAACTATGTTCAGCCTCTCAGGAGCTTCAGATACACATGTTAAGTTCCAGTGTGGATTGGGGTTGGCTTTGCTGTAAATCACTCACCCTCTCTACCTGTTTTTCTTTTCTTTTTTTTTTTTTAAGATTTATTTATTTATGCACACAGAACTGGGGTACAGGCCGGAGGTGCAGGGAGGGTGTGAGAGGATTCACCAGAGACAGAGTGGGGAGCAGAACAGGCAGATTGACGAAGTACACTGCTAAGGGGAGCAGCAGGCGGGTCAGGAGAGGTCTGCTGCCCCATGTGGATTACCTCCTGGGCTGGGGATCAAACTCATGCTGAAGTGGTTTTAGCTGCTTAGTGCTGTGCTTTAACCTGCTGTGCCACCAGGGAGGGCCCTTACTTATTTTTCAAAATAAATATCCAGAGAACTGTTTTCTTCATCAGGGCTTCTTGCTGGGTCCCCACATTGACCTTGGAGGTGATAATATGATGCATGATTTCAAGTGATGGGAGAAATGTGGTGAAGGTATTCCCTAGTTCCAGCCAACTGACCCACTCCATGTGGGTACCAAGCTAGGTGCCAGTCTGGGTTCAGTCAACTGAAGCTACAAGGGACCAGTGGGTAGTTGACCCACAGGACATTGGGTAAACTGCTGTAGACTTTGTCTGGGTCTTTGAGTCAGAGGAGACCATAGAGCAAGGACATGTGACAGACCAAGTAGTTCATCTTGGGAGAGACTCCAAGAATATCAGAGAACCATTAGTCTGTTCCTGCACTTCAGGGCCAGTGGATAGCCAGTTAACCTGGAGAAACTCCCAGTCTTAGACCTATGGACAGCTCTTGGGCCCATATCACAAGTGAACTACAATAGGCTAGAGCCCACCTGACTTCATGAGGTCTGAAGTACTTTTTCTGAGGCCAGTTCATGTAAGGCCTGGCTCATGGTGAGCAAACTATATGGCAGAGGTCACTGGCTCCATGCAACTATACATGGTTTGGATGCTAAGTAAGAATAACCCTGTACTGATGGCAACAGATGAGTATACAAGTACCTACTGTGCACCAGGATAACCAAATTACATGGATTCTCTTATTTCATGCTCATGTAGACCATTGAATTGTGTTATTATTACCCCCCTTTTATACATAAGAAAACTGAGACTTACAAAAAACATGCCAAATTAACCCAGGCCTCTCTGACTCCAGAGAGATTATTCCTCAACACTTGACTACCACCAAGGACAAACCCCCACCCCCACTCCCTACCCTCAGATAAGGGTCTCCAGAGACCACATGGCAGTAAGGATCTTTCATCTTCTCCCTTCCAAAACTTATTTTTATTTGGCAAACAGTGGTTAAACTTCTGTGTGGAGCTGGCATTCTGAAATTTGTCACAGGTCATAGTAACCTTCAATGTAGAAAAACAAAGCAGGGCAAGGGAGATAAGGATCAGGGATAGTGCAGGAAGACCTCTCTGATTAGGTAACACTTGAGCAGGGAACTAAGGGAACTGAGTAAGTCCTATATATACACAGCCCAGGCAGTGGGATAGGTGAGGGGAGAGACAGATGAAAAGCGGGGAGATGTGATCCAGGCAGAAAGTTCAGCAAGCAAAGCTCTGAAGTGAAGGAATACTAAGAATTTACATTTATACTTAAGGAAAGTCATAGGTTCAGAATGGTAGAGCTGAAGCAAAGTGGGACAAAGGGGAAAAGGGTAGAGAATGAGGTCAAAGAAATGGGGGTGGGTGGGTAAATAGAGTGAGGCCTATCACTGTGACTTCCTCACTGAGTGAGATGGACTAATACAGAGTTATTAATGGAGGTTCCAGGTGATGTGAGTAGTGTTTCAGTGCTGGGAGAGGTATAGATTGTGCAAAGACAAGGGCAGAAATGGGAGACTAGTTAGAATGTTACAGGGCAACCCCAATGTGAAATGGGCTACCTCATTGTGGGTCCTCACCTACACGCTAAAAGGGATTTATAATAACTGCAGGCACACATAAGGTTTTATTACCAAAAATAATACAAGGGGGTAGGGAAAGAATGAAGAAAGGAATAATTGAGCGAGAAAGAGAGATAAATTGAATGTGTCCTACCAATTCTGCTGAGCTGAGACCCAACAACATGCTGAAAGCTGGCAAAAATAAACCCAAGGACCACATGTCTGGTTACATACCAAGCCTGGCTGCTGAACTCCTCCTCAGTTCCCAGTGAGCCTTCCTTCAGTGGTGGTGACATTATGGGATTTGTAGTACTTGGTGTCTCGGATCTCTTTAGTCTGGGGTTGGGGTGAATTCCACAAAACCTGTGTTTGTGGAATTCATTCAGGTCATTCTTTCTCCCCAACAAGAAGACTGTTGCAATAATCTCCTAGAGCGATATAGTGGTGGTTTGGACCAAAGTGTAGTGGTAAAGGTGATGGGAAGTGGTCAGATTTTGGATATGACATTTCTCACTTAACATCAACAGTCTGTCCCAGGAAAGTTGGACTGAGCCTTAGACGTCAGAAGAGGGAATGAGACTGGAAATAAAAATTGGAATCATTAGGCCCTCCCTGGTGGCGCAGCCGGTTAAAGCACTGCACTAAGAAACTAAAGCCACTTCTGCATGAGTTTGATCCCCGCCTGCCCCGGAGGTGGACCACATGGTGAGGCAGACCTCTCCTGACCCGCCCGCTGCTCCCCTCAGCAGTGTACTTCGTCGATCTGCCTGTTCTGCTCCCCGCTCTGTCTCTGGTGAAAATCCTCTCACCCTCCGCATCTCTGGCCTGTACCCCAGTTCTGTATGAACAAATAAATAAATCTTTAAAAAAAAAATTGGAATCATTAATGTATCAGTGGGAATTTAAAATATGAGACAATGAGATTGAGGCATTGAATGAAGACAGATAAAAGATCCAAGGACTGAAATCTGGGTGCCTCAGCTATAAGAGGACTTAGAAAAACTGGTCCATGAGGTGGGGGAAGGAATAGGAAAGAAGAGTGGTATACCAAAAGGAAAAAGTGCCTTGAGAGAGTAGGAAATAACCAAGTATATCCATCGCTTTGTTGAGTGAGTGAGATAGATGTTCCTGTAGTCAGGATCCTGAGTTGACTTAATGGGAGCAGTCTTGCTGGAATGATAGAGGTGGAAGTCTAATTCAGATGAGTTCAAGAGAGGAGCGGACAGACTGTGGCAAAGACACTTTATTATTTATTTACTTTTAAAGATTTGTTTATTTATGCATACAAGAACAGGGGTACAGACCAGAGGTGCAGGGGGTGAGAGGATTCACCAGGGACAGAGTGGGGAGCAGAACAGGAACATCTACTGAAATATACTGCTGTGGGGAGCAGCAGGCAGGTCAGGAGAGGTCTGTCGTGCCATGTGGGTCACCTCCCTGGCTGGATATCAAACTTGTGCTGCAGTGACTGCGATACTTCCGTAGTACTGTGCTTTAACCCGTTGTGCTAATAGCGAGGGCCCAACACTTTTTTAAAAAGACTTCCCTGATGGCACAACGGGTTAGGATGCAGCACTACAAGCCAGCCACAGAAACTTCTGTGCAAGTTCTATCCCTGGCCCTGGAGGTGATCCACATGGCACAGCAGAACCTCTCCTGTCTTGCCCACTACTCCCCTCAGCAGTGTACTTCGTCAGCCTGCCTGTTCTGTCCCTGGTGAATCCTCCCACTGCCTCAGCACCTCTACCCTGTACTTCAGTTCTGTATACATAAATAAATAATTCTTTCATTTATTTATTTATGCATACAAAACCTGGAGTATAGGCCAGAGGTGTGGAGGGTGAATGTATTCACAGTACAAGCAGATCTATCAAAATATGCTGCTGAGGGGAGCAGTGGGCAAGACAGAAGAGGTCTGCTGTGCGATGTGGGTAAGACAGAAGAGGTCTGCTGTGCGATGTGGGTCAGTTCCCAGGCCAGGATGGACTTGTGCTGCAGTGGCCAGTGATAACATGGTAGCGCTGAGACTTAACCATTTATGCCAGTAGGGGGCCCCAAAAGATACTTCTTGATATCCAGATGTCCATGAATTTTCCACTACTTCTTAGTATGCTACCTTGGCACCTCCATTTCTTGGTCCCTCTAGCCACATAACTACTTCAGGCTGGTCTGGGCTTTGAAATAGTTAAGAGCTGGTATGTGACCTTCCAATCTGCCACTGCCAGGTGATATGGAAGGCAAGTGTTCCAAAAGGCAGAGTTATAAGTTGTGAGGGTCCTGGATTCAGAAATCACTGCTTAAAAGGGAGATGCTACAAACTGTTACCAGACCCAATAGGTTTTGTGTGAGAAAAAAAAAAAGCCTTTATGTGTAAAACTTTGGCCTTCTTTTGTTACACAGTATAATCTACCTGACTAATTAAGCTCTCAAGTATTGTTTACAGTTTTGAGGGTTTTGTTTTGTTTTATAAAGGGTAAAAGAAAAAGGGATGATATCCAGAAGGGGGTAGAGTAAGGGACCTTTTTACTTTTTAATTGAAATAAAACAAAGTTCACAAATCCTAAGTGGAGCTCAACAACTTAGTGGAGTGAACACATTCAAAGAAGGTGTTTTGAAACCAAAAGGGAAACTGAGGTCCTGGGAGAAGAAGAAACAGCTGGTGAAGCCATATGCTTGAGTAGGTAAGAGGGGCCAGGTGGAGGAGCATGGACCCCTCATCTTTAGTAAGATGAAAGAAGCTAGTGTCTGGCAGGTAGGGCAAGGTTGTGGTGGGAACCTCATAGTTCTCCTCTGACCTCTCTGTGCACAGTGAAATGGGAGGCAGTGTTATCGACGATAGCGCAGAGTGAGAATAGTGTAGAGTGGTGAGAAAAGGTGTGAGGCAGAATTAAGGACATGGAAAGTAAGCAGACAGAGATATATAGGGCATCCCACTATATTTAAAGCAATGACTCTGAACCTGCTCCCCAGTAAAAGACACATGCCAATCCAGGCCTCCACCCGGGTTCAGAAGCCTGGGAATCTCAGTAGCAGTTTGCCTGTTTTTGGACATGAACAGATTAAGGTCTCTTCTCAGTCTCTTGGTACAGCAATGCAGACCCACGTTGGCTTTGAAGTTAGCTTGTACATTAGTGGTCCATAAAGTTCTCATGTCGTCTACGTCTTCTTGCTCAAGTACCAGGCGTGCCCTACTTTCTTCAGCATCCAATGCCCTGTGTTCTATGGCTGTTTTGCCCATTTTGGATTTCCAAACTGGTTCAATCTCAGGCTCAAGAGAACTTTCTGGATGCCCCCTCAGGTTACTGTTTGAAAGGCATGATGTCTCTCAGGTTGTCCACTATTTTGTTTTCTGGGCTCTGACCCTGACTGAATGGATGGATGGACAGATGGATGGATGGATGGGTGGGATTGATGGCCTAGAAAACCCCAAAAGGTAGATGTTCTCCCAGTAATCTTCCTTTGGTCCTACTCTGTGAGGTGGTGCTGTGGGCCATTAGTGCTTAAGCCCTGCCTGCTCTGTGGCACTCGAGGTCAGTGCAGGAGAGGCCACCAACCCTGGCCTGCCTCCTTGTCTGTTTTACACATTGTTCTACTGCAAAAGATTAATTTGAAGAAAGGATTCCATGACTTAAGACAAAGCTGACAAAAAGAAGATCTTAAAAATCTGTTTAGAAGCTGCTTGATAGGACCTGGAGAGTGGGGTGAAGCAGGTGTAAGACACTACAGATGCTAGAGATGTAATGCATTCTTTTTCTGGTCTTTTGGAAGCATCTACTTCATGCCAGACTCAGGGTAAAGTCATTATTTGCTCAAGGTTACAGAGCAAGGCCTTGGTTATTCCCCATGGAGCCTGGTCTGCCAGGAGTGCAGAAGCAGGATCTGCTTTGCTCACATTGACACCAATCCCTTCCTGCCCCCTGGCTGGCGTCAGTGCCCTTCTCATGAGTCTCTGACTAGTCTTTGCTGCTCTTCTAACCCTTCCAAGCCAGATCTCACTTTTCCTAAAGGGTCCATACTTCAAATGAAAACTTCTCCTGTGGAATATTTGTTGCCTGCCAAATGAAGGCCCTTTAGCTTGCCTTTGGGGGCCCTAGAGATTGACCTCAAGTAAATCATCCAATTTTGTTACCCCTGCCATCCACTGTGGCCACCTCTACCTGGCCCTGACTCTGAAGGACTAAAAGACCAGGCTAAGTCTATCCTGATCAGCAACGAGGCACTGAAACCTGTTTGTTATATATATCTATAGTTGTTTTTAATTGGCAAGGTAAACTATGGCTAACAAATGCAAAAGGTACAAAGTATACTCAGAGGAAAATAAGGCTCCAGGCTAAAGACAAGCCTATTTGATTCTGATTCGCTTCATCCTTTGCCGGGACCTAAATATCCAAAAGAACTATTGGTCAATCAGTTGGACAGATGTTGGGCAGTGAAAGGTAGCAGGGTTGTTTCAATTCCAAGCTCCTGTGCTTCCTTGCTGAAGTGACTTGAGCTTCATTTCCTTCCTCTGTAATAATAAACTGCAACTTAATCCACAGTGGCTAACACTTAATAAATGCTAGCTGCTATTATCAGTTCCTTAAAAATTACATTTTAGGCCCTCCCTGGTAATGCAGCAGGTTAAAGCACAGCACTGAGAATCTAAAGCCGCTTCCACATGAGTTCGATTCCCGCCTGCCCCGGAGGTGACCACATGGCGTGGCAGACCTCT